GGGAGGCCCGCGCCGCGCCGCGCCCCGCCGGTGCCCCCTGCGGAGGGGCCGCGGGCCAGCCCCCGGGGTCGCGGGCGCTCGCCGGCCGGGGCCAGGGCGGAGCCGGGAGCATCTGTTCTGAACGTGCCACCTGGTGTGGAAGAGGGCGGAGGGGAGAGCAGCCTCCAGGGGCTGGAGGAGTTGCTGGGTGGCCAAGTCCCAGTGCTGGCGTGCATTTCCCCCCCCTTCAGGCCGCCCGTACGTGTACCGGGTATTCAAGTGTTGTCCACTACAGCGGCAGTGCTGCTTGCGGGACTGTGGAGGTCTCCTAGTCCTTTATTGGAAGATCTGCCTTTCCTTAAACGCTTCCTGATTGTAAATATCTCCCTTCCTTTAGGAAATATACAAAGAAATAAGAACTATCTATAAATCTAGAATCCAGAAACAAACAAGCAAGCTGGCCATCCATGTCTTAGTAACCACTCAGAGCCAATTAGCTCTGTTAAAATTATTTTGCTCCATCATACTGTTTAATCATCCACCAGTGATAATTCTCTAATTATCGGGTAAATAACGAAACCTTTCCCTCCTCTCCGGTTTATGTCTGTATTTAATTTTTTTCCTTGTGTAAAAGTGTGGCTAGCATCTTAAGCAGAATGCAGATATATGTAGTTGGAGCTACATTCAATATTTCAGAAACTTTTAAAAAGTTGATTGTAATGAATGCACATCTATCAGAAAGACCCTCGCTCACAATTTGCATTGTGAGTGGTAAAATAACACGGAATATATTTATTCTGTATGCTGTGTAGTATACAAGCTGTTGGGACACATGGACTTTATTACATTGTTTTATTTAAATCGAGGCAAATTTCAAAACTAGGTACATAGAAAAATAAGTAAGGTAGGTAGTCTTACCTTTTGCAGTTATTAAAATGAATTTTTAAAAAATAAATGTAGATAGTTTCAAAGCATATTTCTACCTAAACTGTGTTTCTTGAGTCATTATGTGCCATCAGAGCTCCAGCAGACTCAAACTTCCTCATGGTTTGACATTGGGAGTTGGAAGAAGTTGATCTAGTGGAAATGTAGCTGAGCTCATAATAGGTGTGGTCATTAACTAGTGTCTTTAATACCACTTCCCCATTTTTTCATTGTTTTGTCACCTGTACAATAATGTTGGGCTAGATCACTGTGAATTTCAAGTGATGTACGTAAAATAGTAATAATCATCAACCAATGTGTGATCATATTTGGTTTTTCTTTCCAAATATGAGCCTAGTTATAATGGTAGAAGGATATTTGTAGCACTCAGATGAGGCACATACATTTTTCTTTAGACAAAAATTTTCAACTCTGCCCTCATCTTGTGATTCTTTATTGATGTGCTGTAAAAACTGAAATTTATAAAACTAGGACAAAGAAAGCCAACCCCCTCCACCACTGCATATTGTTTCCTATGTTTGCACAGTAATGCTTTTTCTTTCCCTTAAAAAGTTAGATATCATTTCAGTTTAGTTCCGTGCCATATCAAAAACCATGCAATTATGTTCATTTAATGGTATATGCAATATTGTTACTGTTTTGAATTTTGGAATTAGGCTGTTCGGTTATGTAGAATAGTCAGGAAAAGAGCTGAATTGAATTTGGGTTCAATAGATTGTGTGTGTAGTTCAATTTTTTAGAGAAAAAAAATGTATTGTGTGCTAAAACCATTGTATAGTACTTATCTCAGCAAATAAAGTTTTAGCATATTTTTCCATAGGTTGTTCTCTAGGTAAAGTAGGTCATTTGAGAACTCTAAAATTTCCACACCTAACTCTAAAGTTGATTTTATACACTGATTTTAGCTACTCTATTTTGTGTACAGAATCTTTATTATTTAGAACTTTGGAAAATTAAGGCACTTTTCCCCCACATCTCTCCCCTTCCTGTTTTCTGACACATGGCCTTGTTGTGTAGCCTTAACTGGCGTGGAACTTGCTATGTAGATAACGCTCACCTCAAATTCATTGAAATCTGTCTGTGTCTGCCTCCTGAGCACTGGGATTTCAGCCACGAGCACCATGCTGGGCCTGCTCTTGGGCTATTTTAGCTTGCGTTTTTTCATCTATACAAATTCAGATGTTAGTCTTTTTTTTTTTTTCTGTTGTTTTTAAGCTTATGTATTTTTCCAAAGATTTTTATTTTATGTGAGGATGGTTTTCTTACATGTGTGTCTGTACACTGTGTGTGTGCATTGCCAGAATATGTGTCAAATGTGCTCTTAACTGCAAACCATCTCTATAGCACAAGCTTATGTCTTTTTAAGGTGATTTTTTTTTAACTATAGTTCTGTTGGCAAATACGATTAAAATAGAATTCACCTTTCAGTTTATAATATTATATAAAATAATAAAATATTCATGTTTAACAATGAGAATACACATTTTAAAGCAACAGTTGTCAAACTTTTAAGTCAGTAGTTGTACTGGCTAATTTTATATCAACCTGACACAAACTAGAGTCACCAGAGAGGAAGGAGCCTTAGTTGAAAAAATTCCTCCATAAGATCCAGCTGTTGGCAAGCCCGTAGAACATTTTCTCAGCTAGGGATAGATGGAAGAGGCCCCCATCCATTATGGATGGAACCATTGCTGGACTGGTGTCCCTGGATTTTATAAGAAAGCAGGCTGAGCAAGCTATGAGGAGCAAGCCAGTAAGCAGCACCCTTCCATGGCCTCTGCTTCAGCTTCTGCCTCTAGGTCCCTGCCTTGTTTGAGTTCCTGCCCAGATTTCCTTGGATAGTAAACAGTGATGTGGAAGTGTAAGCCAAATAAACCCTTTCCTTCCCAGCTTGTTTTTTGGTCACGGTATTTCATCACATCAATAGAGATCCTAAGACAGTAGTTGAAAGGAACTTCTCATGCAAAAATCAGTTTTCCTGTCTTGTGGATGAAAAAGACAAGGGTGGTTTAAGAAGATAGCACACAATAAGTTGAGCATGATAGAGACAAATGATGATTTCATAATTAAAATACTTTAATAAGATGAAACATTTTCTATAGGTCAAGGTAGTATTTCAGAACACTAGTATTATGTCGAATTAGAGGAGCACCTCATTTCTTTAGTGTGGTCAAGGAATAAAGAGCTCATATTTTATTTGTAACTGATACCTACTCATAATACAAATGCTCATATTTAACACACAATTTAGATATTTTCGATAAATTACTTAACAAAAAGAGAGGTTGCACATTTCTCTACCTTCTTTAGCGAGACTACAGCTGATACACGTAGTAACCATTGACTGTGCCGGGGATTTGTGTCTATGAATATATGCACTGTTCAGCAGCTGTCCTTGGAGACTCTTGAGGTTCCTTAGTATGTTTTGCTAAGTGGCCCCGTGAGACTTGGGTTTAGAGTTTTGTTTTGCTGTCTGTTGTTTCTTTAAGGTGTGCTTCCAGAGACCCTTTGATTTGCTGCCTGTAGCTGTTGTGCACTAGGAAAGGAGCGAAGTAAACATGTGCCCCGGGGGCACAGGATAACTGAGAGAACTTTAGCAGTCTTAGCATTTTAGACATTGACTAATCATCGTGGAAGTCTCACTTTGCTTGAACTTGCTAGGCGTTCAGATGTAGGCATGAGAATGCTTACTAACTTACTCTTTGTTACTACTTTCTTGAGTGTGCCTTATAAGAGTGATCAGACCTTGGTAGGATGGATATCAAGAGTTATTTTAATCATCTTACGTATAGTAGAACATTGGTCAACATTTTTGGGTCTGTTGATAACATCGTAGAGCTGCTGAGTGTGCAGAGTGAATTGCTCCATACTCTTATCCTTGCAGTTACAAGAGTTATCCTGTTATATACCTATCCTTCAGTGTTCATTGAGAGTTAAGATAGGAAGCAATCCAGAGGGTCTTCTTGAAGCCATTATTAGGAGCAGTGTGTATGGCGAGATAGCTTATTTTCTGAATATTTCATGTATATTTTTTAAATACATTTCAAATATAATTTTGTGTATGTATATGTGTGTGCATTTACATGTTTTGTGCATGTAGGTGCATGTGGTGGACTGAGGTCAACCTCAGGTGTCATTCCTCAGACACTGTCTACCCTGATTGTGAGGTGGGGTGGCTGACTATTAAGCCTCTACGATCCTTCTGCCTCTCCCTCCCCAGCCCTGGGATTCCAGAGACACTGCCTCATGCCTGGGATTTTTGGTTGATTGAATTCAGGATTAAATTTAGGTCCTTGTGCTTGCAAGTCAAGGACGTTACTGGCAGATAGCTCCTCAGCCAGTGAAATTGTATTCACTTAAACTATGCAAGTTAAAAAGTACACATAGAATAAACATACTGCCCAATGAATTTTTGTTTCTCCATTTGTTGACTTTTTTCCACCCTACAGTGTGAAGAGAATTCCTTACCTAGAAAGCAGCTTATTGCTTTCCTTCATGGTTAATGCTAACCAGCTTAATAAATCTACTTTACCTCCATGTAATCAAATAATCTCCTGTTTCCTTCTAAAGCGTTGTTGTTTTGCTCTTTGCATTTATATCAACAATCCATCTGTAGA